TTTTTTTTTTTTTTTTTTTTTTTTTTTGAAATCAGAAATCAAAGGAATCAATTGACGCTGGATAATTTGTCATTATCGAGCCCGGAACGGTATCGAAGTTTGCGACATCAACACAGTACGGACAATATGTACGTTGCCCCCTTTAATATACCAAATCTACGTATCGAGCAACGTAAAACTTCTTCTGCTGAAGACATGGCTCGGAAAAATAGCACGAGTAAGAAAATAATTAAAATAAAATATATATATATATAAAATGACGTACATTTAATAACTGATCTCTTTCTTGTAGATTCGATGTCGACGACAGTTTCAGCTGAAAATATGGCAAGAAAAAACTCGATGATAAGTGAGTGATTTTTAAATATTAATTTTTCTTTCTTTCTATTTGTTCATTTTACTCCATTTATTTATTTTATCATTGTTCCATTCAGCCATGTTCAGATGGTTCTCATCATCGAACAACGATAACAGTAATTTCTTAAAAGTGACGAATACATTTACGAGCAGACGGTTATCGGATAACACTTTGATGACACCGAAAATACGGGTAGCACCATCGTGCGAAAGTTCCCCAGGTGCTACACCAGGTGATGGATTACCCATTCGACGACACTCGAGCACCGGTCCTCAAGACCGACGGGGATCTAACATAAATTTATCGCCCCCCTTGGTATTGTATCTTACATTTTATCTTTATCAATTAATCTTTCTTCTTCGAAAAACACGTTTCTTATTCTACAAATATTACAATATTTCAAATATTAAATTATAAATTAATATTAATATAATATAATATTATATATATAATATATAATATTATTTATATATATAAATTAATATTAATTATTCAAATATTACAATATTGTTTCTTATTCTACAATATTATATATTACAAAAATATAAAAATTATATTATAGTCGAAATTTAACGATTATCCGTCTGACAATGGATAAAAAAAATAATAATAAAAATAGTGAAACATGATAAGAGGGAAAAAATTGATCAACAATAATAAAGTTATTAAAAAAAGAAAAGAAAGGAGGAGCATGTGATTATCTCGTTAAATTCGATAGGGTGGAATGCCGATTACCAGTAGCAGTGTTCCGTACCTGGTTAGCTCGAGCATGAATAGTATACGCGGCTCGAGACGTCCTTCGGTCTCTTCAACATCTTCCCAACAAGGACTGTTGCAGCAGGTTGGCTCCAGCATGGTAAGACAACAACCCCCCATCTGCCTCA